CGGGTGCGGGTTTACACCAGGCACCCGCGGCGGGAGCTCAAGTCATGGCACGGGCCTTAAACCATCACCCTGCAGCAGGTTTGCTTCGCGCTCCGAGCTCAGACGTGATGTTTAAGGCTTACCGGGTCCCCCCGATTTGCTGGCACCCGCCCCCCGCAGCAGCATCCCTGCGAGGTCCAGAGGGTGGCTTTAAGGAGCATCGCGGTGTGGAGACACCCCCCCGGGCCACTGTGTCCCCAGCGTGGGGCTGCAGCTTGGGCTGGCTGGGGGGGGGGCGGGGTGCCCCAGTCGGCCCGGACCAGCCGGTCGGGATATGCCGGGCAGCCTGACAGTGCTCCACACAGGCACCGCGGGGTTTGCACTTAACGGCAAAGAGTAACCCCAAGACTGCGGCGGATTAAGCCACTAAACGCACATGTTGTGCACATGAGCAGAGGCAGCGCAGGATATTTTTCAGCAGCTTTTTTTGTGTGTGCGAACACCGTCAAGGTGCAGAGGAGGAGCTGGGTGCAGCCTTACGTGGGCACCTGCTGAATCACTGCCGTGGGCAGGTGGGTGAGGACAGGACCGCATCCCTCCGACCAATATCCCTGGGCCTGTCGCATTGCCCCGGCAGCGTAATTCCCCTCTTGCAAAGAGTGCAGAGACTTTTAGGACTTGCCCTCTTGACCTTTGCACACTGCATCTCACCCAGCGAGAAATCATGCTATAGCATCGGTATAGGAGAGGAGCGAGGGGCCCTTGGCCCAAGGAGCATCGTTTTGGCCTCATGGCCACGCTGGGTACCCGAAGACACATGGCTCCACCCCAGGCTGGGAGACCTGCTGCAGCGAGGGGGTCTTCTGCCGGTCACTTCTGTTCCCCTGTCCCTAAAATAGTTGCCGCCTCCTTACACAGCGCTGCAGACTTGTGGGTGAAGCCTGCAAAGGAGAAATAGTTTCATTTAAAGGCTAATTATCATTAATCTGTTGCCAAAGGAAGCTTAAAAGCCTGAGCCAATTACACGTGCTAATGTGCTTTGGGTAATGAGTGGCCGAAGGGTGTAGTTAGAGCCCGTCTGCGGCATGGGCACCCGGTTATTGGATGGTATTTCTGGCCGAGGCCGCTCCTTTCAGCCGCATCTGCTGGTGTCAGTAACGGCGGGTACGCGCGGCCAAAGCCAGGTCGGTGCAGCAGAGAGGAGGGCGCAAGCCCCGCAAATACTACCTAGAGAGATTCACCAAAAGGAGGAGGAAAAAAACCCACAAAATTCCATTTTTTGTGGTAAAACGAGCAAGGCTTGGCAGCTGTGTCATCAGCTCTGTAGGTGGGTTCGTTACACAAGAGCAGTACTTGCTCCTCCTGTTTCAGCGTGATAAAGAAGGGGGTTTGATGCCTTTGCATGTCCCAGCAGCCCCAGGTCAGACAGACGGACAGTGCTTGGACCCATGCTCCTCTGCCAGGGAGGCATCCCTGGACCAGTCGCCCTGGCTCCCATCGTCAGGCGGGCGGGCTTGTGGCTCCGGGTGCTTTGGCCTGTCCCGACGATGCAAGAGAAACCCCTGGGAGGCAGAGGAAAGCGGAGGGTGGCTGGGCTCTGACCACCAGCCGGCTTCGCTTCAGGCTGCGGACGGTGTCACCAGCCTCCGTCTGTCTCCCACGGACCTTCCCTTCTCAAATCCGGGCTAGTGAAGTCCTGGGCTCGTCTCTCTTTATTGCAGGGGCAAACTCTGGCTTTTTCTCGCCAGCCTGGACACACACAGGAGCTGCTGCTAGAGGTGAAAATTGTCCTGCTAGAAGTCAAGGGAAAAGTTAAGCCTGGTCAGCGTGACTTATTTTCAGTGCAAGTTCCTCTTCCTATTTCAGGAATCAGGGAAAAAAATTGCACCATTTGGTGAAACCCCAGCTGAGCATCAGCATCAGGGCTCAGCCCTCCGGGGTGGTGGGTGCATGGACCCACTGAAGAAGGCGCCCCAGCCCCTGTCTGCCCCGTCACCCCGAGCCGGTTCCTAGCGCTGCCCTTTCCTTGGCCTCTCTTCCAGATGTCCTTCTACTTCTCGGACACGGCAGTGCTGCTGTTTGACTTCTGGAGCGTCCACACCCCCACAGGTAGGCTGCCAGCCCCGGCCTGGCCCCAAGACACCCATCTGTCCGTCCGTCCGTCCATCCGCCACCAGCTGTGCTCTCTGCCTGGGGAAAAGGATGCGGGGCAGAGAAACCAACAGTGGCTTTGCATTTCTGGCAGGAGCAGAGTTAGCGATGGGCTGGGAGGAGGGAGAGCAGGGCCCCCGCCCAGCATTAACGCTGGGGCACTTACTGCATGGGGGGGTGGGGGCAGAGCCGTGATGGGCTCCACACACGGCTTGCCCCAGAGCTCGGAGGGCACTGCCTGGTTTTGGCTGACCCTCTCTTACCCTGATGAGCAGTGCCGTGCCCTGGTAATGCCCCGGACAGGGGTCGATCCTCCCAAGCCGAGAGCGGCAGGCAGGGAGGTGCGGGAAGCATCCA